CACACAAACTGATCTTTAAATGACAGTGACTGTTCGTCCTACCTGAGGAGCTGTCGCACAGATGATCAGAATCCTCTGCTGGGATGTACCAAACAGCTTCCGACCCCTGGAACCAGGTACATTAGTCCGGAAAGCCAGGAGGACCACAATGGTCTTAACAAGGAGGCAGGACAAACACAGGACAAAGCTGATCCCAAATGCTGCCTGGCGGAGCCTACATGTCCACCAAGATGGCTGACCAATGAACACCAGAGAACACAGGAAACAGAGCTTGAGTGACAGGAGAAGCAAGAAACTTATTTCTGAATTGTTGGCCTTGACGATGGGTGTAAAGCGGAAACTGTGAAACACAATGGTGATGATGGTGGTCAGTAAGAATCCCAACAGGGTGAGTGCAACCAGGATGATTCCCATGGTGTCATAGAAAGAGAGGAATTCTTCTTCCCCTGCAACACATTTCACTTTTTCTTTGTCTGACCAGAAGTACTCAGGGCATTTTGTGCACTCAGTGGAACCTTTGGGAACACAAAACGTAACTATATGTGTGTAAACATTATGGAAGTTTTCCTTGCATATCAACATATCTTGATGGTTCTCCAAGTGTCCATCTTTAAATTCAATGACCTTCTTCATTGCACTACATAATAATTTATTTATTTATCTTCTTTAAAATAAATAAATAAATAACATATATGGGCTACCAGTCTGGTTGCTGATCTCTCCATCTGCACAGGGCAAACAATCAAAGCAGCATTTGGGCTCTCCTTGGCGTGTGGCCTGCCTGCTGCCAGGGGGACATGGAGCACTACACTGAGATACAGGAACCTGAACAAGGAACAGAGAAAAGTAAAATAGCCATCAATATGTTGTTTCTGCTATTTAAGATAGTGTATCAAGTTAATTTGAACAGTTTCATAACAAATACGTGGAGGATAACTATGACCTACCTGTAACTGTCCTTTTGTCCATACAATGGTGTTCTTTTTTATTTGCAACTGCTCTCTCTGTGGTGCTGAACCATCATATGTTCCAACTTTGATAAATCTAGCACAAAGTAGCATAAAATATTTCAAAAGGCAAAAGAATTTATGTATTGTAGCATTTTATCAAAAATTGCAGTTATCCTAAAATAAATGTAACTATAGTTTATTGTTCATGATTACTTCAACATACAGTTCATTTGCACTTTAAAGTATTATATCCCACCTGATTTTATCCTTGCTGTCCTTCTGCCAGTTAATAATGTCATAAAGCGGGACTGGCTCTCCATTGGAGTCAAAGTATACTTTATCATCAAACTGGTTGGTAAAATTGACCATCTTCAGATATTGAAGAAACTACAAAAAAAGAGAATTAGAAAAACAAAAGAATGGCAAAAAAAAAACCCTACACATGAATCCCATGAATGTTGATTTAAATATTTTATAATATTTTCAATTACCTGACCATTTGAAAATGAGCTGTGTTTCTCACACAATCCCCCGCTAGGTCCTGCTGAATCGCAGTTCAAAAAAGTGTGCAGAGCATGGGCAACGGCATACACAGCTTTATACACATTGTAGGATATTCGAACCTGAGATACATCACTATAACTGCTGTCAGTGTTTCTCAAATCCTCTGACCCTGTGCATACAGGCTTTTCAAAAGCATATTCACCATCTTTATAAGCTGACATGTTAAATAAACTTTTTTGTCCCACATTAAATCCGACCATATAAAGAGAATTGTTTTGGAAACCTGAGTTGTAACGAAAACTATCATTAACATTGAAATCATCTGCTTCATAGTCTTTGGCTCTTTGGCTTTCAAACTCCAGCTTACAACCAAAATGTTCTTCCCAGAACATATTGAAAAATTCCATTCCTGGTTTGGGAGAGGGTCGGACATTCAAAAGAAACTCTTTCAAGCCTGGGATGCTGACTCCAGGGAAAGTGAAGCCCAGTGTTCCCTGTAGAATGTCGAGAAACTGGGGTGAGGCCAGTCGGCTCGAGGTCACCCA